AAGAAGAACAGCTTATAAATGGATTTTTTATACCAGATATTAAGATAGATTATGAGGCTATATTTTTTTAAAATGTGAAGCAAGAAGAAATCCAAATATCTAACAAGAATATGAAGGGGTACTCAAATCCATTTTTCAAACTCATTAATAATGGGAATAATGACAAAATGATAATAAGAAATCATGTTTCAGATATCAAATGAGTAAAGGTTACATAACTGCTTAATGTCAGTTGTTGAATGGAATACAGATGAGATTATAAACTGATTCCTGAGAGCCATCTTGCATAATTTACATTAAATAGATATATACCTTGGTCTTAATCATTTCTGTCTTGTTTATATTGCATAGGTTCATAAAAAAAAGCATATAAAACTGTCCATCTGCACTTTCTTGTGGTAGCAGGAGACTTGGAGGAAGTCTATGTGCCCATCACCAAGGGAAGAAGTCAGTCAATGTGGTGTGAAAAAGTACCACAACTGGGCATCTGTAAAAAGCCCTACACTAGAAATATATGGATAAACTTTAAGGCATAATACATTTCTCTTAAGTAAGAAATAAAATCAAGTCTATAGCAGGGTATATATTTTGTAAATTAAAGATTCAAGTATAACTAACAAGCTTACATATTTAGAAAAGATACCAAAAGGAAACAAACAAAACATATGAACTCTATAAAGAGATGGTAATCAGGCATAAAGATAAAGTAAAATTAAGTTGATAAATGCATGACAGATAAAATTGTCCACAAATACAAGAAAACTACATGCATAGTGATAATATGCTGAGCATAATTTAATTCACTCAACTCTCTATGCCCAAAAGTTGTTTTTTAAAGATCCAGTTTATAGAATTTGTTAAAATATATATATATATATTCTATGTGGGCTAAATAACTCAAATCTTTAAATTTTAAGTCAGCCAATGTGAGACTTTTAACACATAAGTGCCCTCACAAATTTAATCCTGCCTTTCCTACCTATTTAATTGTTGATTCTGCACCATGGAGCTTCTTATGACCTCATCTTGCACCTACTCTTTTCTCAGCCAGAAATTCTTAAACCTACTTCTCTCACCGTGTCAGCTGGGTAATGACCACTCATAGCTTATGACTCAACTCTAACCCGCCGGGTTTCATCATACTGAGTGCATTTCTCCCATAGCTATTGCCTTTTTGTACTACACTGATCTTCTTACGTGTCTTTCCTCTTCATAAGACCCTTGAAGGCAAGGCTGTCTCGTGTGACATGTCGGCTCTCACCCTGTCTATCTCTCCCGGCCTGTCTGCATTCCCATTCCTGAACTCCTCGTCCAATTCCCATCCTCCAGCACGGCTCCCAGGGGAGACGAGAACAGGCCTGGCATGTATGTGTGACTGGAATTAGAATAATTAAGTACACACAGTAAAGACAAAGTTATGGAAGCTCTCATAGCAATTTGACACTATACAATATTCAAGCACATGATTTTTACATTACAAAAGTAACGTCTGAGGATAGAACACAGAAAACATGTGAGTCATCACACTCACTTGAGAAGTTCATGGCAGAATACGGCTGTCATTTCTCATGCTATTTTCCCACACCTATTTTTTCTTGTCACCAATCCTGTCTTCTAACACGACTGATTTTTTTTAATTTAATTTTTTATTAATTGGGATTAATGCATATATCAAATCCTTCCATAGTTCAATCACATCCAGAAGAATTATACATTTGCTACAATAACCAGTTTCCAAACATTCTTTTCCTATATGGACCCCTTGACATCATCACCCCTTCACCTCGCTGCCACTACCCCTGTGGCCCCGGCCCACAAACTCTTATTCCACTTGCTGACTCCATAGCTTCATCTGTCCTGGTTCTCATACCCCTCAAATGAAAAAACATATAACACGACATCAAGAAGGTGATTTCCAAGGACATAACACTTCGTTGATAACCCCTAATATGTCCAATCAACAAACAAACAAAACAATACAACCCCAAATACGTGGTTTTGGAAACCCCATCCGGTCCAGCATGCATTCGAGGGGGAATCTGCTGACAAGTTTTAACTGTTCAAGTCAGCCTTCTCCCTTGACCTTCTATACTTAACTCAGCCATGCATTCCATTTAGTGACCACTTCCCTCCTAGCCCTCAATTTTCACGGTAGGGAGTTCACCAAAGGTTTATTTCCTGCTTGGTTTCACCAATGAATCTTGGGCTCCCACTCATCCACAGCCTTCTGCAAACCAGATTCTCAGTCGTTAGGCTCTGATACTAATGCCTCCCTTCAATTTAGGATTATATGCTTCAGAATCCATTGGTGACTGATGATGGTGTGATTCGTCCATGTGGACTCAGTTGACCTCTCATTTAGATGATTGCCCGCTTGGAGACAAGCCTTTAAGACCCTATTTTATCTGACACTGGGGCACCATCTAATTTCTTCACCACATTTTGCTATAGCACCCGTCTCCTCTGTGTTCCCTTCCTGCAGGCGAATATGGAGAGGAGCTGTCCTGTAAGAACTAATTGTCCTTAAGTTGGAGTAGGGATTTAAGGTGAGCCCCCAGACCATTCCTGGATCTACCTTTGTTTGGTCTTCCCATTTATTCTTACTTGGGAGTAAATGTAACATGACTGATTTTTAAACAAGGCAAGAAAGAGCTAAGTGGTATTCGGGGTCGGGTGGAAAATAAATATGTAGAGCCGGTCTTCCTTGTCTCGTGCTGCTGTGATGGACATACATGAGTGGGTGGCATTAACAAACAGAACATGGTCTTTTCGCAGTTGAGCTGGTTAGAGGGTTCCATTCAGGGCAGCAACACTAGTGAGAGGCTTTTTCTCTCTGCAGGCTGGAGGATAGGGACCTTGTTCCTTGGCATCTTGGTGATCGTCAGGTGAGAGGCACCTATCATCCCCCATCTCTGCGTGTGCTTCTTCTCTTGCTTGTTTAATCTGCAATTTTACATCTCGAAAGAGATTGAGGTAAAACATACTCTACACTCATACTGTCTCATTAACATAGCAAAGGTGACTCAGACAGACTCAAATGAGATGATAACCACCATTAGAGGGGTTAGGCTTTATAGCACACGTTTTATGGGGGGAGGGGGATACAATTCAACACAAAACAGAGTCCCTTGATCAAAAGCTAGGTAGACACAAATGGTGACTGCATCGCTTTAAACTGAGCATGAGGGTGTTCTGCGCAAGGGCTCCTGTCCTACTGCAAAGGCCACAGACTCATGAAACTCATCCTATTGCTGTGTGACATTGTCCCATGAGGTCTCTTAAAACAGAAGGAAGTCTCACATCTTATCTTCCACATGGCCTCCAGGGGCTGGCACACGCCCACTTCTAACCACTTCTCAAACTTCCCTTGTCATTACACTCTCCTTCCAGTTCCAAGATCAAGCCATACCACCCCATCCCCACCCCACCTGAGTAGAATTGTGATATCAACTCTTCTCAGCTCACTTATCCTCTCCCCTACACTCAGTTTAAATGTCTTCCCTCTCTGGCCCATTCTTTCCACTCAATCCCATCTTAGATGTTACCTACTCATGTTACTCATGTTTGGTATACATTCACACAGTGTCCTGGAGGCTCCCTTAAGAGCACGCCCCACAATATGCAATTAAACAATGAATTTGTTAAATATAGGACTCCCACCCCTCAACCATCCATTGACTATGATTTTCATGAGACACTTCTATTTTCATTACCAGTTTTGTTACTGAGCACCAAGCTCAGTCCCTAGTGGAGTAAAGGTGTTTAATCAAGAATCACTGAGGAAGACTTGTCTGTGTGCTTAGTGTTATAATTGGCAATTAGTACGATGAAATAAATGCTGGCTGAACAATTTATTGGCAAAGCCAATTCTGTAGAAATAAGGATACTAAATCCCTAGTGTATTGTAATTGTAAGATACCAGTCTTCTAAATGTATTAGCTAGTCACCATTGCCCATTCAGCCTGTCTTTCTGTACAGGAGATTGGACATAAGGGGAGATAAAAGACTTCTATTGCTAGGCAGACAGCACGACAGGAGTGTAGCTGTGGGTTCCCTACTCTCCACTCCCCAGAGGCTGCTTATACCAATGTCGATTGCTCTTCTATAACTAGAGAAAGAGAGGGAAGACTCCCTCTCCTTATGAATTATTTGTAGTTATCCACTCCACCACACACCTTTACAATGACCTTACATGGAGTCATCTTTTCCTTTTAATAATTTAATTCCTAACCAGCATAGTAAAATGAACAAAGCAAAAATGCATATGAAGAACCCATTTTGTATTCAAGTAGAAAGAGTGGCTGACAGTATTTTCTTTTTTTTGCCTTGATTTTAATGGGGCTGCTGTAGCACATGTTTCTCATGCCAGGGGGTCCAGAAGCTCCAAGAAAGCACATATAAAATGCTTCATGAATTGGCAGATGCTCAGGCCTGTGATTTTCAGATGATTTTCTAAGAGACGACCCGACCCACACCACAGTCAAGCATCCTGATGTCAATGCCGATTTACAAGAAAAGAGAGTTTCAAGTCCCCTTGCTTTTACTGAGTGAGCTTTAAAAAAAGTTTCCCGGCCAGCACTCACCGTCATCAGATCAGTACATCTCCAAACATGTTGTTACAAAGCAGGTACTTTAAACCAAAACACTTTAACAACCCAAAGAAATTCCGTTTAGCAATCACAATAAAAGTGCATTAATTCAAAATGAAGAGGAAGGCAAAGGTGAAAGGAAACAGGCAGAGGGAGAAAGAAAGTCTGATCTTGTGATTGTAGCTGGAAGAGTGCTCTCCCCCAGCCCCAGCGCCTACCTTCCGGAAACCAAGATTGGGTGTGGGGAGACCATTCTTGTTCTTTCTGGCAAAAGGACTTGTAATCAGGACAGCAATCAGAATTTTCCCTGTCACAGAACTTATCACAGTAACACAGAGCATGCGCCTCATCGAAATGAGTAACACAGCCATCGTCTCTGTCTTTACAACAGCCAAAATGGCTGCAGAAGTGCCCTTCGAAAACTGTTCTTTTCAATCGAGTACCTTCTAAAATGCTGTGAGTCCTAGTCAAATTAGCTTCTGGGTTCACCTGTCTTTGAGAGAAAGACCTCTTCTCCATGCAAACTTCTGTGGTGAGATAGCAAAGGATGAAGATCTGATATCTGGTCCACATTCTCTAGGGGTCAGGTTCAACTCCCACGGTCTCTTCTGGCCAGTGCCCTTGGTTTTGAAGGCTTCTCCGTGGAGTCTAAATTCTACTCACCCAGACACATCAGCCTGAAAACTGAGACAGATTCTTCACTTGAACCAAGTAAACTTTTCTTAGTTAAACATTAATCAAGGACTTTAATGTTTGCCCAAGATAATGTGAGCCCTTGAAATAAGCCATTGTCATTCCTCCAATGTTAAAAATTTGTATTTAATATGTTAAAAATTTCCATCACCATAAAACTACCTACATAAGGTCTTATGTGTCAATGATACATTATATATGGCTTCCCCACCCCTACTGCCCCCAAAAGATATATTATTAAATCAAAACCCTCCCGGGAATACACATGGCCCAAATTATGGCTGTAATAACTACTGGCAAAGTGCAGGAAATTCAAAAGTCAAAAATGCAATTATTCATTCCACCTACTTGCACTGTCACTAAAATCCAAGCTCCCCGAGGTTGCCTGCTAGGGTCTGTCATATCAATAACAGTTGCTCTAAATCATGCCTGGTCGCACACTGGGCTGATTTCCCATCTGTACCCCATTTACCTACCAGAAACATTTTTATTTCCAGGCTTCGTGGAGCCTTATTCAGCTAGAAATTCCCTGAGGGTGACCTTAGTCCCTACCTGGCATTGACGTAGAAGCGTGCAGTATTTGGAAGACAGTTTGCAGTCAAGAAAAGCCAGAACTCCTTGCTAAAAAGATGAGAGGGGGGAAGGGAGGGATGAAGAAAACTCAAAGGTCAACTTGTCTTTCATGTTTCTCCATAGCTGTATTGCTTTCGTGGGCTTTGTCATAAAGCATTTATTCATTAACCACAACAACTCCCTTTGGAATGGGGATAAGTAATGCGCAGATGATGATTCAACAAGAGTAGCTGAGCTGCCTGCTGCAAAGGGGCAGTCTGGGCAATGAGAAAACTGGACTCTGGTCCCCGGAGCTACTGTTTTTTGTTGGTGATCTTAGTTGACCATTTACTTTTTTGTGGTCCTCGACAATTTTCATATAAAACAAGGGTCTCTTTGCCAGGCTCATTTATCATTGGTGGCTCTGTTCCGTCTTTGCTCTATAAAGTGTCCAAGTATTTGTTTATCCTCACTGTATCACTGTCTTCTGGCACAATGATGTCAGGCTATCAACTAGTTCCAAGGAGCCCTGGTGACATAGGGGGTTACGAGTTGGGCTGCTAACTGAAAGGACAGCAGTTGGAATCCACCTGCCTTTCCATGGGGAAAGATGAGGTTATCTCCTCTCAGAAAGAGTTCACCGTCTCAGAGGCCCACAGGGACCATTGACTGTATGGCATTGCTATGAGTCGGAATCGCTTGATGGCAGTGAGTGGGCAATCAACTAGTCAGGTCTCTCTTACATTCTATCTCCTATTCATGTACATCATCCACATGGGATTTTCCAGACCCTTCCTACTTCTATCCAGAAACGCCTACCTCCTCTTCCTTAGCTCCTCTGCACTAACATATACAGTGTTACATACTTTCCTACTTCACAGTAACCTGCCATCTGCAAGGTGATCCACAATCTCCTAATGTGCAACTACCATGGATTTTTGTCATACTCTGTTTATCATATCTTTACTTCATATGTATCTTCCACGGCTTCAGCACAGTCGATGAAACTGGTTAAGAACTGACTGGCAGTATGTCTTTGGGAAAGTGACTTCATCTCTCTACATTGCTATTTCATCCTCTAAAAATTTGGAAAATATTTATTAGCACACAGGGCAGTGGGAGATTTAAATGAGAGAGTAACACAAAGTGCTTGGCACCTTGCCGACATTGAGGAGTGTGCGTTATCACTAGTAAGCGTATCTTCCACTTGGCGATTCGTCCTTTCTTTGCTTTGTGTGTCTGTGTTCTCTCTTCCCCCGGCTTGGCTTCCCATTTTTCACAAGACTTTCGTTATCTGCCAACTAATGAATTTCCTTCCTTCTGCCGACTCATGAGTTGCCTTACTTCTTTTCCCATTGACCATTTGAACTTGATTTCATCAGCATTCTCCACCTTCTCTAGTCCTCGCACCTTATCAATGGTCACCACTCTCAACAGTCAGTATACCCATTGTCAAAGTATGCTGGTTTTATATATGGAGTATATACATAACCGATTCTTTCCTTCAATAACTTAATATTACACCCTGTCTTCTCTTGACTAATGTCTAAGCTAGTCTCTCTTCATTCAATCTTACTTTCTAAATTCACCGTCTACAATGTTACCATGCTAACCAATTAAAATAGAAATCCCTGTTCCTCCACCAGGGAAAGTTCCTAAGGTTTGCCTGTGGATTTGGATGCTATCAGCTGCCTTGTGAGATTGCTGTCAGTGTGTGAAGTGGTTACCTCTAGAGAACACAATATTGGCTCAGACAATATTAGAAAATATAGCAGATACTCTTGGTGCCCATGTTCAGCAAGTTGTAGTTCAATAGTCTCTGAGGGTTTCTGCTAAAGACTAGCTTCCCAAACATGGCTGATTATTGGAATCACCTGAGAACCTCATGAAACCATAGTTTACTGGGTCCTTCCTCCTGGAGACTCTTGTTTATAAAGTGGTAAATACAGCTCAGGGCTCTACAGTTTCGCCAGATCCCCGGGTGATTCCAATGATCTAATACACCATATTTGAGAATCTAGGCTCACAGAACGTACTTGTGTGAGCCAGGAATCAAGGACTTGGGAATCAGCCCTCACCTTTGACAACTGAGATATATATGTACAACTCCCTTGTACTCGGGTGGGGTAACTCTGAAGTGGGTGTTTCCAGTAGTTTCCCTGGACTCCCCAAACCCCAGTTGCCCATAGCAGTACTTTGTTGGCTAAAACTCCCCTTATTTATGATAGCCCTTGCCTTTTCTCACTGTGCCCCTCACCAGCGTTTCTCATCATCTCCAAATACATTACCTGCAGTAAAACCCTTGTTTCAAGGTCTGCTGCTGGGGGAACACAAACCAAGACATGTCCTACCGCTGGGACTTACCTTTCCTCTTCTAGCTATTGGGTTGGCAAATACTTGATATATTGGTCATATCACCCCCCTCCCCGTGGTCAATCTTCTTTCTAAATCAAATATATCAGGCTTGTTCTTTGGACCAAAGAGTAAGAATCTGGAGAGGGTCACATGACCAATTAAAGGCTCTCCCTTAGATCTGACACATACCACCTTTGCTCATGACTCATTGGCCTCACTCTGCCAAAATAGGGCCGTGAAGATGCAGTGGAACATCCCTCACCCTCTATATTGGAGACCCGGGTTCAAGTCATGGGCTACGGACTAACTTACAGAGCTGCCATTTGTCTATAAGCTAAAGCTTGCGTGCTACCAGCATGCCGACTAGGTATTAAAGGAGCTTCCAGATTAAGATTGACTAGAAAGAAGATCTTGGTGATCTACTTCAGCTAATGAAGATCCTATAGATAGCATCCACAACTGATCATGGGGATGACATAGAACTAACATTTGCCCCCTTGTCTATGGGATTGTCCTGAGTCAGGGCCTGCCTCGACATCAGCTAGTGGCAATCCTGTCCCAGAGGGACAGCATGTAAAATCTCATACCACAGGGATAGATGGGAGCAGCAGGCAAACAGCAGAAAAAAGAAAACCGAAATAAAATAAAAATGTGATCATTCCCACATTCATTTATCAATTCTTTTTTGAGAGCAGGACGTGTTGGGATGGGGACAGGCAATTTAATAAAAGAAGTGCAATCGCTCCCTCTCCTCATGGGTTTATAAGGGAATGTTTAAAGTCACCAACCACTTACTCCACTTATTTTCTGAAGCTTTATCAAAATGCCCAGGGATGGTTCATTATTTCTTTTTATATTATTTTTAGAGCTACAGAACTCCAGCAGTTTCATCAATTTTGAAGTTGTATAATGTTTTACAGAAGTTTTCACACCGAAGTGCAGATTTATAAGAGAATTCTTTGGGGCAGATTAGAAATTGTTAGAAATTTAATTTTGTAATATAATTGAGAAGTTGACACGGTGCCATCTATTTGTATACTGAATGGTCAAATAGACCTTATGTGCAGTAAGAATTGGGGTTCCATGGTAGGAAGGATTGACAATGGCAATCTAACCCATTTGTTTATAGCACCCTGAAAATGTTGCGTGTATTATCTTGTTTTAACTCACCAACTTTTATTTACATAAATTCACATAAAGTTCTAAAAAAAACAAAAGCACTGAAAGTGATATATTTGGTGAAAACTGCATTCCTATGTACCACTCCTACTGCAACCTATTGAGAAGCCCAAACTCCTTGCCATCTAGTTGGTTCTGATTCATGGCGACCCTAGGACAGAGATAGCTGCTCCTTGGGGATTCTGAGACTCTCCTTCTCCGAATCAGCAGCTTCTTCTTTCTACTGGTGAATTTGAACAGCCAACCTTGAAGTCAGCAGCCCAATTCTTTCCCACTGAACCAGCAGGGCTCCTTGTTTTGGGGAAAATGGCTGCTTAAATGGGGATGAGGACATGATTCTGCCCCTGTGGTAAGTTTAGCACTATCTGGAAGCCATTTACAAGTCACAGCTGCCTCGGGGCACTGGTGGGCAGGAGACAGGGCACTGCTGAGCATTCTACAATGAACAAGGCAGCTTCCCTAAGAAGTCATTATTTTCACAGTTGAAAATTTTTGATTTAGACTCATTACATATTTTAAAAGAAATCAAAATAAAAAACAAAGGTAAAACAACCTGACAAGAAATCAGACCCTCACCAAAATAATTATTTATGTTTATTTGCAAGTTAGAGTCATATAAACATCCATCAGATGGACCTATGCTAAAGTGATGAATTTTTGCAAAATGACTCAACTGAAGCCAAGCCCATTGTCATTGATTCCATTCCAATGCAGGGAGACTCTAAGATAAAGTACACCTGCTCCCTCGGATTGTCAAGACTATGAGTCTTTATAAGAGCAGGAAACCTCATCTTTCTCCTGAGGCATGGAGGATGAGTTTCTACTGTCGCCATTGAGCTGAACAATTTAACCTGTAAGCTTCGATGCCAACAGTTCTCAACCTGTGGGTCGCG